TGTAAGGTAGGCTCGATCAAGAGAAGGTTCGAGTAACTTATAGACGCTAGCTTCGAGAAGAATGCCACACTTGATAAGATCAGAGAGAGCTCTGTTCCCATTGAATTTTACAGGGAAGAACTTCCCGGTATGGCCCCTAACTCTAGTATTCCTTTGTTCGTAAGGGCACATATGGCCAATTTCGACGTCAGGCGAATCTTGGTCGACCAAGGCAGCTCGATGGACATAATGTACTCCTAACTATTCACCATTTTACAGCTAAACGAGACCCACCTGACCCCTTATGTAGGCTCCGACCTCCAGGGATTCAACGGTTCTGTCACCAAGCCTTGGGGATATGTCGAGCTTATTGTCACTATCGGAGCGACAGAAACATCCAGGTCGATCAAGACACAGTTCCTCATGGTGGACTTCCCTTTATTATACCAGTGCATTTTCGGGAGGCTTACCCTAGCCGAACTAATAGCGGTGCCCTCCACTGTGCACCTAAAGATGAAATACTACACTGAGCAGGGACTTGTCGCCACTCGTCACGGGAACATTTAAGCAGCAAGAAGATGCTTTGAAGCGGCTGCTAAAGGCTTTAGCTCCATCAACATGTATCCTAAAACATCTAGTAGATTTTCCCTGCTCAGTAGTTCCAAAGAACCACAACTCTTGTCGCACGTCGACACAATTGACCTCGACGACTGGTTCACAAAAGAAGATCTCTGAGAGAAGAAGAGGAAGGGAAAAGAGCCTCTACTGGATACAAAAAGCTCTTCCTCGTCAACGAGCAGCAAGGAGCCTGCGCACCCTATGCACCCAATCTCGGACGGGGAAATCGAAATCATTCACCTTGGCGATAATCCCTCTAGAGGAGTCAAAATCGGTGTTGACCTCCCTGACTTGGAAAAAAGACAACTGAAGGCGTGCCTCAGAGAGAATGCGGACTTATTCGCCTGGAGCACAACAGAAATGCCTGGCTTGGATCCGGAGATAGTGTGCCATCATCTGAGGATATATCCTTCCATTAAGAGAGTTACTCAGCGTAGGCGCCGACAGTCCCTAGAGAAAACGGAGGCCGCTAAGAAGACTGTGAAAGACCTCTTAGAGGCAAATTTTATTTCTGAAGCCCAGTACACCACCTGGCTTTCCAATGTAGTTATTGTAAAAAATAGTAATGGAAATGGTGCATGTGTTTTGACTATACCTATTTCAATAGGGCTTGCCCTAAATATGCTTATCCCCTGCCCAATATTGATAAATTAGTTGATAATACTGTAGGTTTTAAATTACTGTCATTCATGGATGCGTATTCTGGATACAACCAGATCCCCGTGGAAAAAATGGATAAGAAGTACACGGCCTTCATGACCGATTCGGGCAACTATTACTACAACATAATTTTGTTCGGTATGAAGAACGTCAGCGCTACATACCAATAGATGATGAATAAAGTCTTCCAAGGATAAATAGGAGACATGCTCGAGGTCTACATGGACGACATGATTGTCAAGTCCAAAGAAGAAACCGACCATGCTCTCTACCTAAAGAAAGTCTTCAACCAAGCAAGGAAATGTATAATGCGATTCAACCCACAAAAATGCACCTTCGGTGTGCGGGCATGCAAGTTCCTCAGTTTTAACCTAACAGAACGAGGAATCGATGCCAACCCTGGAAAATGTCGGGCATTTTCTGAGTTTCCAATGCCAAAATCGAAGAAATCGATTCAAATCTTGAACAAAATTCTCACCTTGTTATTCCACTTCGTGGAAAAATCTGCCCAACACGCACTTCCTCTTTTCAAACTTCTCTGCAAAGAGGGAGCCTTCGAGTGGACCGAAGAGTGTGAACGCGCCCTTGTTCACCTCAAACATGCACTATCTCAACCACTTGTCCTTTCTCGACCAGATAAGGAAGAAATTATTTATCTCTATCTGGCCGTAGCATCTGAGGCCGTGAGCGCTGCCCTTATTCGAGAAACCCCCGAATGGCAGAAATCTATCCACTTCATGAGAAAGGACTTATAAGGCCCTAAAGTAAGGTATCAGAAGATCGAAAAAGTAGCTTTAACGCTTACTAACGTAACGAGGAGGCTGAGACAATATTTCCTGGGACACACGATTGTAGTCCGAATGGAGAAACCAATAAAGCAAATACACGATCGGCCGAACATGGCGGGCAGAATGCTCAAATGGTCGTTATAACTCTCTGAGTTTGACGTCAGATACAAAAGCATAAAAGCCCTCAAAGCTCAAGTAATAGCCGACTTCATGCCGGAGATGACCTCGCCAGCCTCCCCGAGCGGAGCGTGCAGATGGACCATCTTCGTCGATGGGGCTTCCAGTTTAACAGGAAGTGGAGAAGGTATTATATTGGAAAACAAAGAAAGAATCTTGATCGAAGTATCTGTCACGCTATCTTTCCCGACCTCAAACAACTAAGTCGAGTACGAAGAATTCCTGGCAGAGCTACGCCCTGTCGAAGATTTAGGGACCGAAGAAGTGAAAATATTCACATATTCCCAGCTCGTTGCGAGGTACGTGGAGAATATCAGGTCAAAAATGTCCATCTCTCTGAATACTGGACTTTGGTCCAAGAAAGAATGAAGAAATTCAAGTTTGTAGACGTACAAAACATTCCCCGTGAACACAACACTCGGGCAGATATCCTATCAAAATTGACAAGCACAAAGAAGAAAAGAGGAAACAAATCGGTAATACATGAAATGCTTCCTCGATAGAACATTGAAAAACCCTCGTCGATTATAGACGTATACGCCATAGGGGACATTAAATGCTAGATGACCCCAGTATACAACTACCTTACAAAAGGAGAACTACCAACTGATTAGAAATAGGCCAACATAGTTAGGCAAAGATCTCGCTCCTACATTCTAGTCGAATGCTGATTGTACAGAAGAGGATTCTCCATCCCCCTCCTCAAATGAATTGAAAAAAACAAAGTAGCCCACATCCTGTGTGAAATCCATGATGGAATCAATGGCCAACACCTGAGCAGAAGATCCCTTGCCAGAAAAGAAATATGGGCATGATACTACTGGCCTTCCATGTTGCACGACGTTAAAGAGCACGTGAAAATGTGTGATAAATACCAATGCCACTGGAACATGCACTTGGAGCCTCCAAAGGTGTTCAAGTATATCTCTCCCCCTGGCCCTTCGCATGGTGGGGCATGAACATCCTTAGGCCATTCGTGGTAGGATCAAACCAAAATAAATACCTAATAGTAGTTGTGGATTACTTCACAAAATGGATAGAAGAAGAAGCGCTGGCCAGAATCACCGCACAAAACATTCTTCGTTTCTACAAAAGAAACATTCTTTCTCGGATTGGAATTCCCCAAGCAATTGTCACCGACAACGGGACACAATTCACAAACAAAAATTTCTAGGAATTTATTACCAAGTTGGGCACCATCCAACACTTCGCGTCTGTTGAGCACCCACAGACAAACGGCAAGCCGAGTCTGCAAACATGGTGATCCTACGAGGCCTGAGGCGAAGTTTGGACAAAACCAAAAATAAATGGGTCGAGGAGCTACACATTGTACTTTGGGCCTATCGAACAACAACTCACTCATCCACCGGGGAGACTCCCTTTTGACTAGCATATGAAATCGAGGTCGTCATCCCGGTCGAGATCATAGAGCCCTCTAGATGGACTAAAGCCCCTCTCGACGAAGAGATGAACGGTGTAGAATTAAGGGGGGAGCTCGACCCTGTCGAGGAAATCTGAACAGGAGCGGCTGTAATACCCCAAATTTGTCCTACCCTTCTACTTCCTATCTGGCTTACGCATTTTTGCATTTTTTTTCCTCACATTAGGTCATCTAACACATCATGCATCATTAATCAATAAATTGGCATAAAATAATGGATTTCGAGGAATAAGGGTTGGTGTGTGGCTTTTTCTCTAACACTGTGGACTTCTTTTAGTGATACAATTTTTGGTTCTCGTCAAATACTTGTCGCTTCAATTGTGAGTCATCCCAAGGATATCTCGAAAGGCTGCAAGCTTAAGCAGTGAGGAACATCGTCTTATACTTATCACCTCCACATAAATGATGATTTATGTCCATGATCATATAAATTTCAAAGGGGTTCTATAATTACTTAAAGTGCAAATGGTTGAAGATTTTGATATATCCATGGCCATTAAGATCTTGTTCAATGATGCTTCAATATGTCATAAAAAGGGTTATCATATAAGAAAATCGTATCTTTTACGAGTTAATATTTCAAATGGTCTTTTCTTCATCAAATGAGGCTTAGCTATTCCTTGAACCTCAAGGCATATGTTCACGAGCTCTAGGCAAGAGAAGAAGATTCAACGGGATACTATTTGCCAAATTGAAATTTGTACACTTTATGAGGCAAAGCTCTTTGTCGGGTCTATTCGCTTACTTGTGATATAATATGCTTTGGGGACTTCATTTCAAAATACATTAAAATCAAAATATTAAGCTTCTTCAATTATGGTTTTGAAGTGAGGAATAAGAAAGATGCAAGGCTCGTTCATTTGAAGGTGTTTAGGCATATTTTCATTCAAAAGCAAAGAAACTCGACGTTACAAGTTTGTCTTTGGAAAAGACTCTTATTAAATTCATATCACAACCATGGAGTTATATGCAATATAAAATTAAAAAAATCTTGGAGATACAAAAGGCAATTTGGAGGAGAAGACTACTTGGAATATTTGGGCTCCATCATTAAAGTTCAAGAGTTCACATTCATACAATGATATAATCTTTACAAGTTCTAAAGCATTACTCGTGATTTGTCAGAGGGTTATCCAAAATCATTCTCGTTCATTCGAGGTCATAACCATGCAATTTACAAGCGGTATCATTAGAACATTACAAGAGAAGATTTCAAAAAGGCGTTTACATCCAAAATTACTAAATCAAAAAAACAAGAATTTACATTAAATATTCAAGTAGCCTAAAGCTAAAGAATTCTAAATCAAGGTTTCCCTCATTTCTAAAGTTATTTATCTTCAAGCCACTATCTTCCAAGATTGCCCCATTCCAACCTGGTTATGTCCAAGCCTCGGTCCATGTTTCATACCAAAAGAAAACCTGCATAAACAACCATTTTTCAAGCCGGTTCAGTACCAATACGTAATCAAGTTAATTTAATTTGAAATACAAAAAATCAACAATTACACCAAGTATTATGTGCTTAAAACTAACTTTCTATTTCCCAAACTATAACCAACTTTCCTTTTTTCCCACCTCTTAACCATTTCACAACAACCACTTCTAACTGCAAAACAGAATAGTTACAGCATAACTAACAAATATCCAAAACCATATTCAGTAATTATTCTAACAGCTTCCTAACCAAATTCTAACCAACTAACATAACTAACTTTTCCCTCATTCCTAACTGTAACAAACTCCTAACTAATTTCTAACATTTTTCTAACTTAACCCAAAACCATATCTCAACTAATCCTAACAGAATTACAAAGTCCATAAACAACCTCTAACTGATTCAAATCTCACCATCTATTCCATAACTAACTCATTCAATTCAACAGTTCAGATTCAGTTCAACCATAACAAACTTCCAGCATATATAAAGAGAGCTCACAGCATACAACCAGAAGGACAGAATAAGGAGGGAAAGAAAAATTCACAGGGGATCATTCACAAAAAACTCACCATAAAATCTGAAGACTCTCTCAATCTTGAGGTCTCTACATAATCTCCATTGTTTCTGCATTTCAACCTCCATCTTCTCAAAAACCTTGGATTCATTGCGTTCTCCTTGAATCTCCACCTTTCAACCATTATCATACGTACCATTCATCACCTTCTTCCACATCCTTCATTCTCAATCTGCACTCTCTATACCAAGCCTTCATCATCAACACCTCAATCTGCATCGTTCTCTCTACTATCTGAATATCACAACACCAACGTATCACTGCTTCATAACTCAGTAATAATGTAACATCAACAACAAAGCGCAGCAAAGTCGCATGTCAATAATTCTACGCAACAAAGACTCCATCATTCTCGCATCGCAAACCGCCATAACATAAACGTAGAATTGAGGAAGAAGAAACGGAAAAGAAGAAAGAAGAGAGGAAGACGAACCTGTTGTAGAGGATACGGAAAATAAGCGCGAACACGGTGAACAACAAGGAGATGGATGAACGGAAGCACACGGAGGCACTGGATCGACGAGAGTAGGAGACGGAGCAACGCACTAAGACGGCGGCCAACGGTCTTCGTTTTAATGATGGTGAGCGGCGGGAATCGCCGGAGCAGAAGAGACGGAGCAACGCAAGGATCGGGCACCGTTGATGGATGAAGAAACGTAAGCGAAGTGGTGAGGATACCGGCGGCGCTGTTCCGTCCGCGAGAGAAGAAGAGACATTTTTCTCTAAACCTAACCCTTTCCAAATTTCATATCCTTTTTTTTCATTTTTATATAATTGTATTATTATCTTATATTTTTTTATTTTATAATAATAATATACTGAAATATAATTGTTTTATTATTTTATATCTTTTATTTAATAATAATAATAATATGCTGAAACAATATAATTGTTTTATTATTTGATATTTTCTATAATAATAATAATAATATGCTGAAAATAATATAAAAAAAATATGGGTTTTTGTTGTAAGAGGAATTAGTGACGGAATGGGCCAAACTAGTCAATTCTTGGATCATGATTATTTTTATTTTCTTGCTGATTGTGTCTATTTTTGATGGGGCCTAATGTCGTTGCTTTTTTTTGCAGCACATAGTGAATTTAGTTCGCACCTCCTGAGATCTTATTTCCCATACTCATTTCGATTGCGGTTAATTTTGGGCGATTTATTTTCTTTGGCAATATTGGTAAATAAAAGAGATTTCTTTTCAATTCTCTCACTTTTCCTTTTCAATTTTAATCATTAGTTTTACTCATTTTTATGTCATGTGTTTCGCTCGCAATTTTTATGGATTGTATGCGATATCCTGATACTTGCGGCCTAATTTTACTTATTCGTATATTATTTCATGATTCTTTATGAGATTTTGGTTCAAATTTAATCTTCGATTTAATTGAACTAAAAGTAGACATTAGGCTTTCAAACTCATGCATACTAATATCAGGTAGAAATTTCCCCTTTAACCTAAGTCCTATGGCTACTAACGCACAATAACATTAGGTTTAGAAATAGGTTAATTCCCCTTTAACTTTTCTTTCCCTTTTGCATTCGCACCTAAAACTAAAACTTTCTCTTTCTTTCAAAATTCAAAACACTTCAAAACTATTGATGAGAATCATGCTTTTGCTTAGTACGGGAAATGATAAGCGAGTCTCTTCTCGATCTTATTGTTCTTCATCTCAAGCATAGGTGTGGTTCAATTCTCAAAGACTCTTTTCATAACTAAGTAGAAAAATGGCTAATATCTCTCTCTTGAGGTCAATCAGTCATCATCTACAACAAAAAATACAAAACAAATTCAAATCTTTTGTGCGCTCGAGCACTTTTCTAAAAAAACCTTTTCAGGTAAGGACACGATTAATTTACTTCTGTGCCAACGCATAAGTCTCCAAAGGTCGAGCTACGGCAGAAGGCGGGATTAACTTCGTCCATAAAAAACACAAACAAACAAAAAATGTGAGCCGAACTACGGTAGCTCTGATTCCTTAAAAAGGATACGTAGGCATTGGGGTAGGGCCCAGGCGAGCACAATTTTATTTTCCCTACATTCTTTTCCCCTTTCTTTTGCATGCATTCTTCCAGTAGTATAATAGACAGTAAGCATAGATTGAACACACCCATAAGATAGATAACAAGAGTGGATATCGTAGAGTACTACGGGCGTGTGGGGTGCTAATACCTTCCCCTCGCGTAACAGACTCCGTTACCCGATATCTCGGTCGCAAGACCGTGAATTCTCCCTTCTCAGGTTTTCTCGATGTTTACCTTTCCCTACGTGTGGGATAAAAGACGTTCGATGGCGACTTCATTGTTTGATGATTTTCAGCCGGTTGTTTCAGCTGGCGACTTCACTGGGGAATAGGTCGACCAAGTGCTGGTCCATCCCGGAGTCGCTCCTAGCTCTTCTTTTCTTTTCTTTGGGTGTTTATCTTCACGCTTTCGGTTTATTCATTCATTTTGTATATACTCAAGCATACATACGCATTGTATTTATTGTCTTCCATTTACTACTGTTGTACAGGATCTACTTCTTATTGGGTTGGGATGTTACTTTTGAGGTAAAAGGCCCAGTACCCAGGCCAGAGTGCACTAGGACACCTAGGAATAGAGTGGGGGCATGACGGCTACAGGACGTGGTCCGATTAGTGCAGTCATGTCACATACCACGCTCGAATGAGGTTCAAATGAATTACTATCGGCACCCACGTCTGTGGGTAAGCCCATAGCACTTTCAGGCGGACCCGTGATTTTCGAGTTACCATTATCTTACCCTGACCTAGTTTCACCCGTGAGTGGGGAGGGAATTTCTATCTCAGGTACAGATGGTGACTCATATTCAGATGATTACTCGTATTCAAATGATGACTATGCTCAAACAGTGACCATCGGTTCTATTGGATATGCTCTGAAACTCTGTCAATGGTTAGGAGGTTCTCAGATTTATTTTCTGAGTCCCGAATCTGTTCATAAGATTGTATGATTTATGTTCAGGACCTATGATCCTGGTACTTACAAGCTACGCAGAGACAATACAGCAGATATTGGTATCATGGAAGTAGTAACACCATGATCATTTTGCATTTACATCTAACATGTTTATTTCTCAACAAAAAAAAATGTCAGAAAGATGAAATTATCAACCTTGCATATGCATGTCCACTTTGGATACCTCACTGGCATAATTTTCGCCAATAACATTTGGCAACGGTGATGTTCTCAAGAAAACCAAAGGAGACAATCATACTTATTTGCACTATTCAAAGTTTTATGCTCAAGTTCTTGGCCTTCTTTGAAGAATCTAGAGGACCATTTTCGTCATTTTGACCCTATTTCAGTCTTACAGCTACAAGTTACACATTCTAGGACTACCAAATTGTTCCAATTCCGGAAGGACAATCCTCTCTGCTGAACACCTACCTGTCGCCAAGTCCGGATAGGCACAATTTTGAAATGGTCGCTAAGGCACTTTATTTGAGCCTAAGCGACATGAAAAATAACCCACCCCCGAACTAATCATTATTGTTACCAATTGCTCACACTCCCATAACCTTCTTATATTCAGTTCTGTGGGAATTTCTCTTATCTTTGGATGTCTTCTTCATGTGGTCATTCTTATCATCATGTTGCTCGATTACTATTGACGGTAGTTGAACCATGGAGAACCAGAGTGGACAATCATTTCATGCATCATACATATCATGCATTTCATAAATTGCAGGTTTGCTGGCAGGAGTTCTTATCTGATGATTTTGCCTTTTATTATAGAATCTACAAGACGACTTCCATACATCCTTATCGCACTCGAGCCAACAAGTTGAGGATCATGGAACAGATTGAGCAGAACCAGGCCTCTCTCCGCAAAGACATGGACACCATGGGTGACCGGATGAACCAACTCATGGAAACTCTTCATGCCGTCATCCAAGGGCAGGAAGAGCTCAGAATAAGCGTCACAAAACTGGTGGACATTGCCTCCACCTCCGAGAATGGCGGACCCAAGAATAATCATGGGGGAATTCCTAAGGAGAACCCACAGATGATTATGGATGACCACCATGATGTCATTGATCTCGATGACCCTCCAAAGGGTTCTACGGCTGATCTGTCTGAAACTGCTAAGATATACAAGGCTCTGGAAGAGCGCTTAAAGGCTATGGAGACTTCTAAGAAACCAGGATTCAGTGTCGCTGCTATGTGTTTAGTTCCGGGGGTTGTGATTCCGCCGAAGTTTAAGGTACCCGATTTCGACAAGTATAAGGGAGTTACATGCCCAGAGACTCATCTCCGATCTTACTGCAGAAAGATGGCTGCTTATGCTAGCAATGAGCCGCTGCTTATGCATTTCTTTCAGGACAGTCTTGCTGAAGCTCCATTAGAATGGTACATGCAATTGGAACAAACTCATGTTAGTAATTGGAGTGAGCTTGTTGATGCTTTCTTAAAACATTATCACTACAACACCGCCATGGCACCTAGCCGTGCGCAGCTGCAGGGTATGTCTCAAAAGACTGGTGAGTCCTTCAAAGAGTACGCCCAGAGATGGCGCAGTTTGGCCGCAAGAGTTCAACCTCCTCTCCTAGATCGAGAACTAGTGGATTTGTTCATGAGTACCCTTCGAGGCCCGTATTTGCAACATATGCTCAGTAGTACTTCTGACTCGTTTTCAGATATGGTCATCATCGGGGAACGGGTTGAAATATGTGTTAAAGTGGGGACTATTTCAGGTGCATCTGGCACGAATAATAACAACAACTCAGGTGGTGGGAAGAAACCATACTCTAGCGGTTTCGTCAAGAAAAAGGAAGGAGAGGTGAGCAATGTCTCCGATGATAAGGGGAAGGCTACTATACAAGTTCCATATTACCAGACCCCCGCGGCTGCTCCACAACAACAATACGCACCGCCACGAAACTATCAACAGAACCAAAGGCCTCAGGGGCAGAGAGGTCAACAAAGGCAGCAAAGGTACCCCGAAAGGAGGATCGATCCAATCCCGATGCCGTATGCTCAATTGCTTCCACAATTGCTAGCCGGTCAGTTAGTACAACTTCGAGAGTTAGCTCCTCCGCCAGCGGAACTCCCAAGGGGTTATGATGTTAACGCACGTTGTGAATTCCATTCAGGTGCTCCAGGTCACTCGATCAAAAATTGCAAAGCTTTAAAATACAAGGTGCAATCTCTTTTAGATGCCAAGGAGTTAAGCTTTGCTCCTATAGGCCCCAATGTTCAGAATAATCCTATGCCTCCCCACCATGGGGCTGCTGCCAACGCTATTGGGTTTGACAATGACCATGACTTAGTGACTCAAGTTGAAGAGGTTCAGATGTCAATGGCAGCCCTAAGAGAGCATCTTTTACAGCAGAAAGTTCTACAAGAGCTTCATAGTTTTTGTTTGAAGTGCTCGTCCAATCCAGACGAATGTGACGATTTGAAAAATTCCATTCAAAAACTGATGGACAAAGGGATTGTCAGAGTTAAGAAAGTCGTTCCCGAAGGTGATGTCGCTATTTTGGAAATTCTGTATTATCCGGCCAATGTCCAGAGAAATGCTTCAAGAGTTCCATTGGTTATACAGGTTCCAACGCTCCCTGCACCAAACCTGAATCCGGTTGCTCCCCTGCCAACCCAAGCGTCAACACTTCCAAGTTTTGTTCCTAACTCGTTAACTGACAACAGGGCAGTGCCGTGGGAATACAACGCCGTTTACATTCGGGGAAAGAAAGTTGTTTGTCCACCGATCGAAAATAAGGATGTAACCAACATTGCCGGGACTAGTAGAATAACTCGAAGTGGGAGAGTCTTCGCTCCTACTCCACCACCTCCTGAGGAAGTTATCGAAGAGATTCCTGTAAGAGATAAAGGGAAACAGGCAATTAATGATTCTCCTGGTACGTCTTTTGAACAACAAGTGGAGCAGTTAATCAGAGTAATCAAGAAGAGCGATTTCAAGGTGGTCGACCAGCTGAACCAGACACCCGCAAAGATCTCAATCTTATCCCTCCTCCTGTATTCTGAAGCTCATTGAACCGCCTTGATGAAAATTCTACATGGTTCCCATGTAAATCCTGAGATCTCTGTGGCCCAATTTGAAGGGGTTGTTACAAATATCTCCGCAGGAAATTGTCTAGGCTTCAATGATGACGAGCTCCCTCCTGAGGGTCGGGCTCATAATAAGGCGCTGCATATTTCCATCAGGTGCTTAGATACTGTAATGTCTCGGGTCTTAGTAGACACTGGATCTTCCCTGAATGTGATGCCTAAGCATACTCTTCTCAAACTAAACATGGACGGGGTGATGATGAAACCCAGTATGCTAACAGTCAAAGCCTTTGATGGGTCGAGGAGATCTGTAGAAGGAGAAGTTGACCTACCCATCAAAATCGGCCCCCACGTGTTTTACCTGTCATTCTATGTCATGGACATTCGTCCATCTTACACTTGCTTGCTGGGACGCCCGTGGATCCATGTGGCAGGGGCCGTTACTTCAACCCTGCACCAACGTTTGAAGTTCATTATCCAAGACAAGGTCGTCATTATTGGCGGAGAAGAAGATGTCGTGATTAACAATCTTACTTCCTTCCGTTATGTCGAAGTAGACGGAGAAGTTCATGAGACCCCTTTTCAGGCCTTGGAAATCGTTTCTGTTGACAGAGTCCCCACCATGCTGGAAAATACACAGAAGTCTGGAGTTCCGTTGGTTTCCTTGAAAGATGCCAAGGCTATTGTAGAATCTAGAGTCTCTAATGGAGACTGGGGCAAAGTGATAGAGGTGCGCGAAAAGCAAGACAAGTCTGGACTTGGGTTCAGGTTGCCGTATTCAGACCATGTTGGTACAAGTCCAATTATGCTCAGGGGAAAATAAGTTCCTCCGCTTTCAAAGGTATTGGTTAAGGCTGGTCCGGAGGCTCAAGGACAAATCCATGCAATTAATGGTGAAGACGAAGCAGATATGGCTCAGTACATCTACCAGATTGCGCCTGATCAGGAACTCGACAATTGGACTGCCACTGATATCCCCGAAGTGGTTTTCTTTGACATGTAATGTTCTTGTTTTAAATAAGTCATATGCTTTTGCACAAAGCATGTTGACGGCTTGTGAAGAGGGCCCCTCATGTTTCTATGATTGTTTAAAAATTGAATAAAATGTCATTTCTGCATACAATTTTTCTCTCTGTCTTTTCTTATTTTCGTAAAATAAAATGGCAATGTTTTTCTGACTCTTTAACCATTTCCCAAATTCGCATCCATATTCTAAAATAAGGCATGATTCATCAAATCATGCAGGTCCGCCTCAAATTCCATAAAAAACGGTGATGTTACAGTTCCTTGCACCAATATCCTTGGGAATCCGAATGACCAAGCCGATGAGGGTAGTGGAGAAGATTGTGAAATTCCGGAGGAATTGGCGAGACTATTGAAACAAGAAGAAAAAGTGATATTGCCTCATCAAGAAGCCATTGAAGTCATCAATCTCAGCACTGACACAATAAAAAAGGAGGTCAAGATAGGGGCCGCTTTGCAAGATAACATAAAGAAAGGGTTGATTGAGCTTCTCAGAGAATATTCCGACATCTTTGCTTGGTCATATGAAGATATGCCTGGTCTAGATACGGATATAGTCATGCACCACTTGCCACTCAAGCCAGAATGTCCTCCAATAAAGCAGAAGCCAAGGAGAACTCGTCCAGATATGTCTCTCAAAATCAAAGAAGAAGTTGAAAAGCAGTTGAATGCAGGCTTTTTGTTGGTATGTGAATACTCAGATTGGATTGCCAACATCGTACCTGTCCCTAAGAAAGATGGGAAGGTGCGCATGTGTGTGGATTATCGAGATCTGAATAAAGCAAGCCCAAAAGACGACTTCCCATTGTCGCACATCGACGTGTTGGTTGATAACACGACTCAGTCCTCGGTTTTCTCCTTTATGGATGGTTTTTCGGGATACAATCAGATAAAGATGGCCCCAAAAGACATGACAAAAACGACATTCACTACTCCATGGGGTACTTACTGTTATAAGGTCATGCCTTTCGGCCTCAAAAATGCTGGTG